CGCATAACGTGGATGAACTTGGAAGACATTGTGCTGAGTGAAATAAGTCAATCACAGAAGGGCATATATTGTATTAGTCTGCTATTGTAAAAAGTCAAGGAAAGGTTCATATATGGAAGGAAACTTTGTTGGTTACCAGGGGTGAGAGGGGAGGGGAGGGAACATTGCGAATATATATAAAAAAAAAGTAATAAAAATAATTGAAAAAAAGACCCCCTCTACCTCGCCCACCTTCCTCACCTGTAAGTGATGTTTGGCCTTGTCTTCAATAATACCACAGTGATAAAGGAAGTTATTTCCTGTCAACTGTTGAGAAAACAGCTTACCATTCATCATCCTGCAAAACCTTACAGAATGATCAACATCAATACTGAAAGGTACAAAGCCAGTCTGGTCAACTCTAGAGAGTGACCCATTCATGGCCACAGGAAGCAGGCCACCTGCTCTGGGACCCCAACTCATCAATACCCGTAAAAAAGCAACTTAAATGATTTAACTGGTTTCACTATTACTCACCCCATTTTCAGCACGTTTTTCTCCAGGTACATTTATTACATTTCTCTGAGTTCTCTGCTCTTGGGTCTGACGGCCACCTAAATAAATCACAGCACCAAACGTATTAAAAGACATGCTAGCAAAACAATATTCTCCCAGCCCCTCATTTACTCAAATATTTAATGAGCACTACTGTGTACTATAGGAGCTCTGGCAGCATAGTGCCTAAGGCACTTGACTGCTAACCAGAAGGCTGGCATTTCAAATCCACTAGCCACTCCTCGGAAGGAAAGTTGAGCAACCTACTTCCGTAGTGATACTGCCTCAGAAACCCAAGGAGGGGGTCCCTGTGAGTCGGGGCCAACTTAACGGCACACAACAACAACAACAACAACAACAACACGTGTGGACTACCAGGCTGCGGGACAAGAGTCAGTGGAGCTGAAAAAGCAGGTTACGGTTCAGCTTTCACAAAGTTGTCCATATGAAATCTTTTCTTTTTGCATTCCATTTCAGAATCTTAAAACTGACATTATCAAAAAGACTTTTACGTTTTAGAGGACACTGAAACAAAGCTACCCAGTAACAAAAAAACTGATGCAAAAATTAAGCTTCACTAAGAGGCCGCGACGGGCGCTGTCCCAGTCGGCAGACTCGCGGATCCCCTTTTGTTCCCTAACAATGACAAGTTCAAAGGAGGGGCTTCAATTTAAACTGGAAGCAACCTCTCTCTGCCCAGAAGAAAGCACGTGCCCAGGATGCAGCAGGTGCATCTGCGGGACCGCCACTCCGTGGCGTCTGCGTGCGGTCGGCCGTCTCTTGCCCTACTCTGTCCCCCACTTTCACTGGTGCCTGTCAGGAAATGCCGGGGCTCAGGTCCTGCTTCACCATCCTGGGTTACATGACATCCAGGAGTCATGAACTAGTGCTTAAAAAGGAGAGAAATGTTTCTTGTTTCTTTCCTGTTCCTTTGAAATGTTTGAAGAAAAGTTCTTTTATGGAAATACTGCTTCACCTTCAAGCATGCCTGCTCAAAGAGGGTGATACCATCTCTCAAGAGAGCAAAAATACTGGTTCTTGAGGGGTAAAAATGTTTAATCTTTTTATGTATAAAGCAAAAGTACACAGAATACCTAAACAGATATACAGGAGTTCTGGTGACATAGTGCCTAAGGCATGTAACTGCTAACCAAGGCTGGTGGTTCAAACTCACTAGCCACTCCTTGGAAGGAACGTTGGGCAATCTACTTCCGTAGTGATACCACCTCGGAAACCCAAGGAGGAGTCGCTACGAGTTGGATCCGACGCGACAGCAGTGAGTTCGACAGGTATACAGTACATCTGACAAGGGCAATGAAGAATAAGATGGCAGGAAAAAAAAAAAAAAAAAAAGGCTCCTTAATGGGGCAACTGTGTGTATGGGGGGGTGGGAAACGCTGCCCTAAACCAATGTGGGGCTACCTGGGATGAACTGAACAGACACTTCATAAAATCCAGACCAGCTGTCTGCAAGTAAGAATTAAATCCAGCCTTCCTGCCCTGACACCGCCATCATGGGCATCCTCTCTTTATCCACACAACTTGTTTTTCTTTTTATCTGAATAAGCTGACGAAGTTCCTGTCACGCAACCACATGGAGCATGCATGGAAAAGGCCGATGTGAAATGGCTGGAACTTTTCCCAAACCCAGGCTGGCCCTGCTATCAAAGCCTCACGTTAAAGCCTCCTATACTTGTGCTTGCTGCGTTCACAGGCAGCAGAAATCAATTGATTAGACAGACATGGGGAAGCTGGAACCGAGGCAGAAACGGAAGCAACGTCTCCACAGGAGTAGCTTTCCAGACGCCAACATTTCTTCTGTCGAGGAGCCAGTGGTGGCAAGACTGGCAGCTGTTCATCTCTCTGACATCAGCATGAGACAGAACAAAACCACTGCCATGTTTCTAAGGAGATAGCCCCTGCATCTCTATGTGTCTAACACCCTCTTTTTAGTTAGTTTTAATTTTGAGATAAAATAGGTTCATGTGCAGTTGTAAAAAACACTACAAAAAGGGGCCTGTGTAGTTGTACCAGCTTCCCTGGTAATACTGTACAAACGACAGGCCAACATCACAACCAGGATATTGACACTAAGGCAGCCAGGACCCAGAACATTCCACCAATGCAAGGACCCTCCTGTTGCCCTTTTACAGCCACTCCCACTGCCCTCTCACTCCACCTCGTTCTTCGTTCCTGTTCTCAATTCCTGTAACTGGGACATTTCACAAGTGTCACAGAAACAGAGTCACACAGTTGTGACCTCGTGGGTGGGCCTTTCCACACGGCACAATTCTCTGGTGATCCACCCAGGCTGTTGGTTGTATCAAAAGTTTCCTCCTTTTTATTACTAACTGGCATCCAGGGCTCTGGTATAGCAAGAATTGTGAGGCCAGCACAGGACCGGGCAGTGTTTTGTTCTGTTGTATAAAGGGTTGCTCTGAGTTGGAGCCGACTTGATGGCACCTAACAACAACAGTATCCAGGGTGCTCCATGACACCTCACAACAATAGCAGTGTCCAAGGCGTGGGTGTACCACCGTTTCACCACCCACCTGCTAAAGGACACCTGGCTGTTTCCAGGCTTGGCTATTACAAGTAAAGCTGCTAGAAACATGGGCACCCGTTTTTTTGAGTGAACACATCTTAATTTCCCTGAGACAACTGCCCAAAAGTGCTGCTACCAGGTCATTGCATGGCTGCAGGTTTTGTTTTTAAGGAACCTTCAGAACCATCTTCCAGACTGGCCCTTCTACTCCACATTCCCACCACCCATGTACAAGGGAGCTGCCTGCTCCACATCCTCACCAGAGTTGGCTCTGGTCACTACGTGCTACACCATCACTCCCAGGGGCATGTGGTCACAGCACACTCGGGGTTCTCACATTCCTCCTGGCTAACGAGCACCTTGCACGTGCTGCGTTGGCGTCTGTTTATCCTCTTCAGGAAGATGTCTTTCACTGTCTTTTGCCCACATTCTAAGTGGGGTTGTGCTTTCACTGCTGAGTTTTGAGTTCCTAATCTACTTGAGACACAGGTCCATATTTCCCTCACTCTGTCGCTTGGTTCTTTATCCTTTTAAAAGGCTTTTTCACAAAGTTTTGAATTGTGATGAAGTACAATTTATCAATTTTTCATTTTATGTTGTTGCTAGGTGCTGTCAAGTTGGTTCTAACTCATAATGACCCTACTTAGTGCACAAACAAAACACTGCCCTGTCCCGTGATTCTCACAAACCGTTTCTATGCTTCAGCCCATTGTTGCCGTCACCTGACAAGTCTATTTCATTGGGAGTCTTCCTCCTTCTCACTGACCCTCTACTTTACCAAGCGGGCTGTCCTTCTCCAGGGACTGGTCCCTCCTGATAACATGTCCACCGTGTGTGAGATCAAGTCTTGCCATCCTTGCTTTTCTAAGGACCATTCTGCCTATACTTCTTCCAAGACAGATTTGCTCGTTCTTCTGGCAGTCCCTGGTTTATTCAACATTCTTCACCAATACCCTAATTCAAAGGCATCAATTCTTCTTTGGTCTTCCTTATTCACTGTCCAGACTTCACATACATATGGGGTGACTGAAAATACCATGGCTTGGGTAAGGTGTACCTTAGTCTTCAAAGTGACATCTTTGCTTTTGAACACTTTGAAGAGGTGTCTTGCAGCAGATTTGCCCAGTGCAAGATGGTATTTGATTTCTTGACTAATGCTTCCATGGGTGTTAATTGTAGATCCAAGTAAAATTAAATCCTCAACAATTTCAACATTTCTTCCATTTATAATGATGCTGCTTATTGGTCTAGTTATAAGGATTTTTATTCTTTGTGTTGAGGTGCAATCCATACTAAAGGATGTAGTCTGATCTTCATCAGTAAATGCTTCAAGTCATCTTCACTTTCAGGAAGCATGGGTGTGTAATATACATATAACACATTGTAGGTTGTTAATGAGTCTTCCTTCAATCCTGATGCTTCTCAGATTATCTGCTCAGCATACAGATTGGATTAGTATAATGAAAGGATACAACCTGACATACATTGTCTTGGTTCTCTAGAGCTGCTTTAACAGAAATGCAAGTAGATGGCTTTAAAAAACAGGAATTTATTCTCTTAGTTCAGGAGACTAGACGTCCGATTTCAGAGTGCTGGCTCTAGGGGCTGGGTGAAGGCCCATGACCTTGGGCTTCAGCTCTGCTTCATGTTCCAGGCCCACTGGAGCTGGAGCCTTCTCTTATCTCACACAGCTGCTGGCTGCCAAGCCCAAGATCCACAGGTTAGGTGGCACAATCCCAAGATCGCCAGGCAACATGGCAGACCACTGGTTCATGTCCTGGATCGCCAGGAGACAGAGATGAAGACGTGTCCAAATGCAGGATCCAAAATGGGCCAAAAAGCTAGACACCTTTCTCAAAGTTTTTCCTTATATACTGGAAGCAGGCCACAATCCCTTCCATGGATGAGTGTCCCACGGCAGATTCCACCACGGAGGTGAGTCCAATCTCATCATGGGAAATAACTACATCCAACCCCTCAAAACCACAACCCAGCCAAGCTAACACACAATCTTCATTATCACACATACCTTTCTTGGTTTTAAACCATGCTGTACCCCCTTGTTCTGATCAAATGACTGCTTTTTGGTATATGGACAGGTTCTGCATGAACACAGTGAAAGGTTCTGGAATTCCCATTCTTTGCAAAGTTATCCATAATTTGTTATGATCCACAAGTCAAATGCCTTTGCATAGTCAATACAACTCAGGTAAACACCTTTCTGGTATTCTCTTTCAGCCAAGATCCATCTGACATCAGCAATGATATCATTTGCTCTACACCCACTTTTCAATCTGGTTTTAATTTCTGGCAGTTCTCTGTCAATGTACTGATGCAACCATTTTTTAATTATATTCCACAAAGTTTCACTCATGTCTGATAGTAATACTATTGTTTGATAATTTCTGCATTCCGTTGGATCACTTTTCTTTGGAATAGGCACAAACATGGGCTGCTTCCAATCACTTGGCCAGGTAGCTGCCTTCCAATTCCTTGCCATAGACAAGTGAGTACTTTCAGCACTGCTTCCGTTTGTTGAAACACCTGGTTT